CCTTGAGAGATTCAAAATATCCAACATTTTCAAACTGGCTACTCGTGAGGAAAGTGCTCCGCCCAGCTTCACCAGGCACACCTGGGGAATGAGACCATGGGGAGGGGCATTTTTCGGGAACAAACCCTGAGTTCCCAAAGTGTTTGACATTTGAATTTGCCAAGAGTCCTTGTATTCCTTGTTGGCGTTCTGGATTAATTATCTGGGTCTTTTGCTCCCTGAACTCCTTACTTGGCTCTTGTTTTGCCAAAGACATTTGGGATTTATTTATCGTGCAGCCTTGGTGCAGACAGAGCTGGGAGGGACTAATTGCAGCTGGAGGCTGCTTGAGGTTTGTGTGGGGGTTTGTTCTCACTCTGCTCTGGGACTTGCCAGAAACGTGGGAGCCTTTGGAGCAATAAAGGGATGGTTTGAACTGCCAGCTGTTTGTGTTATCTCTGTGCCGTGCCCTGGGTCATCGCACTTCTGGTGGACCCAGAATTATGCCGGCAAGAGTCGGTTCTTCCATCCGATTGGAAATAGCATCTGAGAACCATCTCAGTCATCATCCTCAAGAAGCAACGTGGGGAAACGTGAAGGAGAAAACGGGCCAGAACGTGATGCAGCACCTTCAAAACCCTGGAAGATGTTGAGCTGAGAAGGAATTTAAAAAGGGAGATTCCTTTGAAGGCCTAAATTAAATTCTTAGGAAAGGAGGAATGTTTTGGTGAGCGAGCCCTAGTTCGCGCAGACTTTTAGAAGATAGGTCACGTCAGTTGTGAAAGTTGGTTCACAAAATGGCCCTCAGGCAGAACATCACTGACCCACATCACTGTCAAATGTTTTGGGCTGGCAGCTGGTCCAGAAATGGAGATTCAAGACTGAGAATTCTTTGTTTCATGGACGGGCAAAACCTTTGTCCAAACTGCTGTCCGGTGTCCATGGACTACATCATGGTTGGGTGTCATACAATACGCTGAATCTGAAACTCTGGGGAACCCACAACGGTTGGGTTCCCACCATGCTGTGCTCCAGGAAATAAGCCATTCCTTGGTTTTATGGGGTCCCCTGGTTTGCGAGATTCCAGAATCAGGTTGAGTCACCAGGAATCCCATCCCCTCGGCACGCGTGTTGCAGAAATCTAGAGTCACACCTTTCCTGATTCTGGAATTTATATTTACATATAGAAATGACCCGGGATTTCTGGGGAAGAGGAGACACTCAACAAAGAATCCTCTCTTCCAAGCGAGAGTGACTGGCATTCGGTTTCTCTCAAGCCAGGTCAAAATTACGACGTTGCGTGGATCGCAGGTAGTCCTCGACTTACAACAGTTCATTTAGTGACCATTCAAAATTACAACGGCGTTGAAAAGTGACTTACGTCCATTTTTTCACACTTAACAACCGTTGCCACGGTCCCGTGATCAAAATTCAGACTCTTGGCAACTGACTCATCTTTACGACGGTTGCAGGCTCCCAGGGTCGTATGTTCATCTTTTGTGACCTTCTGACCAGCGGGGAAGCCGGATTCACTTAACAACCGTGGCAAGAAAGGTCGTAAAACTCACCAAACAAATGTCTCGCTTAACGACAGAAAGCTTGGGTTCCATTGTGGCCATAAGTTGAGGACTACCTGTATTCCGTCTTTACAGAGAGCACAAGCCTCGTTCTCGGGCTCACCGCTGAAGGAACGACGGCCCCCCTAATCCATCCTCATCCTCACCTCCAGCGAGGAAGGCTGGGTCTGTTTGGGTTTCGGGGTCCAATGGGAGACATCCAAGATCAGAGTAAAAGAAGAAAGTTTTTGTAAATTTTGAAAGGTCACCCACTCCAGTTGTTGGGTCCCCTTGCACTCCCGTCCCTTCCTTGTTCCTTTTTTGAGGGGCTCCAGGAGCAAAATAAATATTGTTGCATCTACTACCAGTGAGTTGCCTCGGGCTGACACATTCGGTTGGTAAGTTGCTATCGAACGGATATCAAGAGTGGCGCGCAAAAGCTTCAGCTGGAAGGCAACGTAGAAAACGTAAGGCAAATGAAGACACTGTTTCCTGCTGGAGTTGTGGCTCTGGATTCACAAACTCATCACAAGTTTGCTGCAGAAAATGGGGCGCTTTCACTCTTGCTGCACGCTGGCGGTTGCCCCTAACCCTCCTGGAGTTAAGGATTGTCCCCCAAAAGCCCAAATATGGCCAAGGATCAGATCCTAAAGCGCTGAAAGTGAGCCGGGGATGAAACGAGAAACGTTCTCCAGTCCAGTGGTTGAGAAAGGAACGAAATGACTCAACAGCTGTACAATTGCAAAAAATACAATCCGGGTGGCTTGGCTACACGTTACACTCACTGTGTCCAAAACGCAGCTTGGCGGGGGGAAAAATAATTGTCCAAGCGTTCTGGAGAAAAGCCATTGAGATTGCAAAGAATGGATGTTCTGGAGAACGTTCTTAAGTAAGCTGAAAGGAGCTGGCAAACCTGGTTTAGATCCTTGTCTAAGATTCTAAAGCACTGTTTCCCAACCTTGAAAAAGGGTGGGCTACAACTCCCAGAATTCCCCCGGCTTGAGATGCCAGGTGAGGAATTCTGGGAGTTGGAGTCCACCTGTGGTCAAGGTTGAGATCCACAGGTGTAAAAGGCACCTGTTTGGCTCTTCTCTCCCTGCACTCATCAAATTCACCTGGCTTGACTATTGAACGTTGGTGGAGTGGTTTCCTGACCTACTGTGGTGGGAATAGAATAGAATAGAATAGAGTAGAGTAGAGTAGAGTAGAGTAGAGTAGAATAGAGTAGAATAGAATAGAATAGAATAGAATAGAATAGAATAGAATAGAATCACAGAGATGGAAGGGACCTGGGAGGTCTTCTAGTCCAACCCCCTGCTTAGGCAGGAAACCCTACACCACTTCAGACAAATGGTTGTCCAATCTCTTCTTTAAAACTTCCAATGTTGGAGCATTCACAACTTCTGGAGGCGAGTCGTTCCACTGATTAATTGTTCTCCCTGTCAGGAAATTCCTCCTTAGTTCCAAGGTTGCTTCTCTCCTTGCTGATTTTCCACCCATTGCTTCTTGTCCTGCCTTCTGGTGCTTTGGAGAATAGCTTGACCCCCTCTTCTTTGGGGCAGCCCCTGAGATATTGGAAGCCTGCTATCATGTCTCTCCTGGTCCTTCTTTTCATTAAACTAGACATACCCAGTTCCTGCAACTGTTCTTCATATGTTTTAGCCTCCAGTCCCCTCATCCTCTTTGTTGCTCTTCTCTGCACTCTTTCTAGAGTCTCAACATCAACCAACATTCTTGCTCCTCCACCCAAAACTGTTGGGGAAAAAAAATGGAAAATCCACCTGGTCTACTCTACGGTTCTTATTTCTCTACAAATATTTTAAGAGCAGTTCTTGGCTACCTAAATGTTATCCGCTAACAATTGAGTTACCGGGATTTAAAACTGGGTTGGGTTGTATGGACTGATAGGTTGTAGTTTTGCACCACTACAAAACCATACAGATAACAATTCCTTGTTAGGGATACACCCAAGTGTAGGGCCTCTACAAGGTTCTTACTCCACTTGACAATGAAATATGGGCAACAAGGTGCCCACGGAAAGGAACAGCCAGTTCTACAAAAGAAGAACTTACTTAGATGGCCTCCACTCACTCATCTGGACACTCCCTTCTAGCACTGATGATGTTCCCTAGTTGGGTCATGAAACATCTGTAGGAAAACAACCAAACTCAGAAAGCACCAAGGACCCCTCAGCCCTCCTCCTCTTCCTCTGTACAAACCCCACTTCCTTCTAGCGCTGATGATGTCAAATAGTTGGGTCTTGAAACGTCTGCAAAAAACAACCAAGCTCAGAGAGCACCAAGGACCCCACAGTCATTGTCCTCCTCTTCCTCCTCTTCTTCCATACACCCCCCTCTCTTCTAGCACTGATGATGTTCTCTAGTTGGGTTATGAAACGACTTAAGGAAAAACACCCAGCTCAGAGAGCACCAACGATCTCACGGTTTAACCCTGAGCTACAAATATTTTCTCCTGTTGCTCGTAAAATGGGGTAAAACTCACTTAACAACTGTCTTGCTTAGCGACGAAAAAATTTGGCTCAACTACGGTCATCCCTTGAGGACTACCTGTATTTAGTACAAACCCACTTTCTAGACTTGAAAAGAGTTAATGATTTTGTTGGATGCGGATTTGCTAATTCAGAAGCTTTGCATTCGTTCCTGGCCCGTTTGGTAGAATTCGGAGTCGAAATGTGGAGAAAATGAATATCCTGCAGTCTATTTCTCGCCCTCCCTAAAGTTTCCAAAGCTGTTTTGGGTAGGGGGCAGCCCTCCCCCCCCACTCCCCAAGGAGAACCCAAGGCTTCCTTACGTTTTGCATCAGAAAAGGTGCCAAACCAGAAATTCGTATTTCTTGGCAAGTGGGTGACCTTCTAGGGGCCTTCAGAAACAGCGTATTTATCCTCCAGAGAGAAAGGTACAAATTAGGGTGGGTGGGAGAATCCACAGGTGCTTTTTCCAAAAAGGCGACTGGATTTTCTTCTTCTTATTTTTTTCCTCCCCTCCAGTTCTTCAGAAGCTTCTTGGGATGAGAAGCGAAACTTTTTCGAGGAGGAAAAATCCAAGAAAGTCCAGTTGCTTTTTTTGGGGAGAAAAAAAACCCAAAACAACAACAACCCCAAAACACTTCTGGGATAACCATGGCTTAGAGGAGGGGTCTCCAACCTTGGCAACTTAAAGCCTTGGAGGACTTCAACTCCCAGAATTCTCCAGCCAGCCTTGGAGGACTTCAACTCCCAGAATTCCCCAGCCAGCCTTGGAGGACTTCAACTCCCAGAATTCTCCAGCCAGCCTTGGAGGACTTCAACTCCCAGAATTCCCCAGCCAGCCTTGGAGGACTTCAACTCCCAGAATTCTCCAGCCAGCCTTGGAGGACTTCAACTCCAGAATTCTCCAGCCAGCCTTGGAGGACTTCAACTCCCAGAATTCCCAGCCAGCCTTGGAGGACTTCAACTCCCAGAATTCCCCAGCCAGCCTTGGAGGACTTCAACTCCCAGAATTCCCAGCCAGCCTTGGAGGACTTCAACTTCAAGCTTTGCTGGCTGTGGAATTCTGGGAGTTGAAGTCCTCCAAGGCTGGCTGGGGAATTCTGGGAGTTGAAGTCCTCCAAGGCTTAAAGTTGCCAAGGTTGGAGACCCCTGGCTTAGAGGATGAAGGATCCCCACCGATGTGGCTGGCAAGAACTCCACACTGGATCAATCGAGACCACAAGGAAACCAGAACCGACGGTTAAAAACGGGGCCACTCCAGAGCGAACCGGACCAAACCGGACTCTAAAATGCAGAATTGGGAACCGGAGTGAAATGAGTAACGAAGCGGAAGAGATGGGGGAGAGGTTGGTTTGCAGCAGATCAAGTTCACGGCATAATTTTTTTTTAAAAAAAGAGCCTGGGGGTGGTGGTGGGGGGAGTTTCTTGTTTCCAAACTCAGACCCCCTCCTCTTTCCCTGGGGAACGGGGGTGTCAAAGTTGCACTTGTGTGTTGGGGAGGGGAGGAGGGGCGGTCGGGGGTCTCCGGCAGGCTTCATTCATTCCAGCTCCGATTCCCCGTGGCCGTCTTCTCCGTCGAGGCACCCGTTCATCTTCAGCCCGTCCTTCT